CAAAATTAAGATATGCAAGCACATTGCATTGCATACTTGAGACCTTCAAGAACTAGCCTAAATGCTGCCCGTGGCAGGTATCCACAGACCTGGTTTGGAACATGTGGGACACCAGTTTGGAACACAACAATATTACATTGGAAACCCAATTACTAAAACATCCCTGAGTTCTTTTGGTATGAGTTATGTTATTAAAGCGGGGTTCTGTGCAAACATTAACTTTATCAGGCTAATATAGCTCGCCCAACACAGATTAGCACAGCATTTTTTGAAAGAATTCATGTTTTTCTTAACATTTGCACTCATACCCCATCTCTGTTCAATGATATTGTTTCAACATGCAAACAACCTAGCGTATTTTGCAACAAAGTTTGATGATGGTAGACCCTTTGAAGCTCACAAATGACATTTTGAGGGTGTTGACATGCCAGCATGACCTCAGGGTCGATTGGACACACCTGGCGGGACCCTTGTGGGACCTGGTGGGGCCTAGTGGGGGCTCTGGGTGGGCTAGGGAGCAGAGCGTGACGCCGCGTGATTTCGCGTGATTTTCCGTGATTTTTCGTGATTTTTCAATTTCAATTTACTTTTCCCTACTTAAAATTGGGTCGTTTGTCGGAACCGGGTGCCGCCGCGTGATTTTGCGTGATTTTCCGTGACGGACCGTGACAGCTTGGAAATGATCATGATGGGCTATGAACAGTACTTTTTTGGGATGGATGACCCTTGATATTTACAAGTATTGACTTTGAAAATCTTTGAAAAATGATGTTACTGTTAAATCTCAAACCTGTGGTCCGGTTCAATACAGCCACCAACTTTGGGATGCATCAACTCAACCCTTCGAACTTAGGTGACTTGGGATTATACGAAGTTATGTCCCGCATTGGCAAACATGGTTCGTATCCAGAATATAAAGATGTTGTGGTTCTTAGATTCTTCATAGCCCAGCTGTCAGACTGCGGGACATGACATATGCAAGGTCAGCTTCTGATTTGCCCGCATGTTCATGCATTAAAATGACTGTTGTTCATCTTATTGCAGCATTTGTGCTTGGATGGACTCCGGAGCTTGCTTTTAGAGCAATGTCGTTGCCTGATCCAGACCTGGTGAAGGCCAATTTAAGTAGCAGTCAACTAGACGTTTCAGAAGCCGTGATATGCAGTCAAGATTAGGGAACACTTATGTTACTAACTGATCAGAAAGCGTTTCGACATTAAACTTTTTGGCAAGGAATCCCACTAAGTAAGGTTAACTGATGTTATCTCCCAATATTTAATGGTACTGGTTCCCAGCCACCCGTCAAAGTGCCTCTTGATCCATGGGAAATACCTTTGGTCTTGTAGATGCCACCCCTGCAGGCGGCGCAAATGGCCATGCAGAATGGGCAGCGTCGGCTAAAACTCATGCAAGGGGTGGTCAACAACAGTACCGCTAAGCGTGATCGCACCGATGTGACCAAAACACCGTCTACCCAGGTGACCCCCGAGAATGTGAAGAAGGGTGCAACGTCTGATGATTTGCAGCCCCGGGCATTGGATTTTTCAACTACAGGCTTGGGTTTCTATGGAGCATCATGTGAAACAGAACAACTTGGCACCCCGTAAGACTTTATATAACATGGGTATAACATGCGGTTGTTCATACTGTAGTCCTTCCACGCTAGTTAGTAGATTCTTTGGGTACCACCACTATAAGCCAAATGTTTTGGGAACCCATAGGGTTGTTCTAGCACCCGGAGGTTGTGTATAATATATAATATGTTCAGTGATATATATATAATTATGTATATATCGATATACACAACTAGTGTTTTAATATTACACAATATATTTGTATAATATATAATCTAATACTCATATATATATATATATATAGTGCCTGTGCGTGTGCATACTATGGCTTACGCTACCTGCCATTCCTGCAAGGTGGTGGCAATCCAGGAGGCGTGTCCTCCAGCTCATCGGGGGAAACTGGTGGGAATAATGCCTTGAAGGCAACAGTGGCTTGACGTGTTTCAGTTTTTTATTTATGGTTTCAATCTGGAAGAAACTTTTGTTTTTGCATCAGTCTAATTTAACGATAGACCTTTGCACCGATCCTGTCCAAAAACTGCAAGGTGGCTACGGCAACTGCTGGTGGCATCAGCATTTCTCAAATGCAAGCCGTAGCAACACCACAGAAGGTGCCTGTCACGACCGACCCACATCCCCAAGCAACCCTAGACGACACACTTGTGGTTGATGATGACAACATGGAAACACCAGAGCCTGTGCATACCAGCAAGTCGCCTGAACAAGCAGCAGAGCATTCCCAGGGTTTTGACAAGACACAGCAAACTCCCAAGACAAGGGCTTACTTGGCTTGCATGCAACGAAAGTCCACTGATGACCTTTCACTGCCGAAGACACCAGAACATCCCACAGCAGAAGCAGCTCCAGTGATTGTCACCCCAGTGGCAGCAAGACCAGCTCACAGCACACCAGCTGTTGTGACCCCAACGCCACCTGTTGTTGCACCTGCACATGTGTTGACTGCAGCACCCGGCACAGCATCAGCAGAAGCACCGCCTGGCAGCACGGCAGTGGCACCAGCTCACATCACCCCGGCAGCAACAGCAGCACCTGTTGTTGCACCCGCACATGTGTTGACTCCAACACCTTTCACAGCATCAGCAGAAGCACCGCCTGGCAGCACTGCAGGGGCACCAGCTCCCATCGCCCCGGCAGCAACACCAACACCTGTTGTTGCACCCGCACATGTGATGACTCCAACACCTGTCACAGCATCAGCAGAAGCACCGCCTGGCAGCACCGCAGTGGCACCAGCTCCCATCGCCCCGGCAGCAGCACCAACACCCGTTGTTGCACCTGCACATGTGTTGACTCCAACACCTGTCACAGCATCAGCAGAAGCACCGCCTGGCAGCACGGCAGTGGCACCAGTTCACACCGCCCCGGCAGCAACACCAACACCTGTTCTTGCACCCGCACATGTGTTGACTCCAACACCTGTCACAGCATCAGCAGAAGCATCGCCTGGCAGCACGGCAGTGGCACCAGCTCACATCGCCCCGGCAGCAACACCAACACCTGTTGTTGCACCCGCACATGTGTTGACTCCAACACCTGCCACAGCATCAGCAGAAGCACCACCTGGCAGCACGGCAGTGGCACCAGCTCCCATCGCCCTGGCAGCAACACAAACACCGTTGGAGCCCGAACCCCAGTCACCTGACCCCCGCTTGCTTCAGTTTTGGTCGAGGTTCAAACGGAGCCCCATGTCCAGGGAGCCTCTGGTACGCCCACTGCCGCCACCCACGTTGAACCTACCAGCTCCAACAGAAGCCTTGTACACAGTACTTGATCCCCTCAACTGGAAACACCTGATTCGATCCAATGTTGGACACCGCTCTGACTGGAGATCATGTTTTGTGGTGGCTGCATACAACCACAACACAATCTTTACATTTGCGAATGAGCGAGGTGAGATTGATGGAACCCCTCAGGTGTCAGATTTCCCACTTGTGGTTTGCAAAGGGGCCTTCCAAACCGAGCCCATTGCAGTTGCAGCCCCCCACCTTGTCCCAGCAGCAGCAGCGACCACACTGGGGATGCCAACCCCTGCACCTCTGGCAATGACCCCACCAGCCATTGTGGATGGGGCAGATCTACCGGCGACAGCAAAAGCAGCATCAGCAGCAGCAGCACCACCAACTGTTGCCTCTGCAGAAGTTGCATCAGCTTCACCGATGCCTCCATCCCCAGCAGTGGTTGGAACACCTGCATCCCACCCTGCACCGCCAGTGACACCAGGGTCGGCATCTGCCACGGCACCACCGCAAGCCCCACCCTTCACACCAGCTGTGGAGCAGCCAACACCACCCCAGCTGCCAGCACCAACACCGCAGCCGTTAGTACCACCCCCACCCCCACACACACCACCTACATCTCGCCTGGCAGAAAATTCCGCAGATGACAGGGCACAGTACATGAAATTTCACAGGAGCGTCCGACATCCCACAGCACCCAAGGAAGTGACCCAGAAGTTCCACGAAGCATCAAAGGACAAAGCAAAGATGAGGGCTTTGTTCCAAGAATTTCAAAGATGCAACGGGGACTGGCTGTCCAGCACCCTTGTGATCCGTGATTCCCAGACTACAACCAACACCCAGGGTGGTAAGGATGGATACCTGTCAAAGGCTGACCCTTAGCTATCTTTTTACAAAACAGGGTTTCAAATGTTGTTTTCAAAATCTGTTGGAGTTTTGGTGGCTTTAGGGCATACCAATATTGTGGGTATGGTGTGCATTGCAGCAAATGTTGACCAACCAAGGACCTTTTGGTCAAGTACCATGGCAATACCCTTTTGGTGGACGAGCTGATCAAGAAGAAGGTTTGGGGTTGTTAAACGCAACTAAAGTAAGTAAATATATTTCATAGATGTGTGTATATTATTTTATTTTGATGATATAATATAAACAATATATGTGGTTTGGGTCTTGTTGGCCCCCCTATGTGGTTTGGGCTTGTTACCCTTCTACCTTTATTCCAAGATATTATGAAGGGGATAACACAGTTATTGCTCTTAGGGGGGTCCCATAGTAAACAGGTAAATTTCCCATTTGGCTAATATATGTTTGCTTCCCCTGAGACCGCCGAGAAGAAGTACATCTCTCATCCGGAGTTTCCAGACAACGAGGAGCCTTCTGGGGCGTGAGTGTAGAATCATGGTTTCTGCCTCTGGTGTCCGGGGAAGTACCATGTTGATAAATAATATATATATATATAAAGTGTTAAATATATATTCTGTGTATATTTATATATATATGCATACGCATATACACATATGTACATATGTATGTGTATTATGTTTACCGTGCCCTAGCATATATGTGCATATATGTATATATATATATTATACATGTTTTTGTGTCATAACATGTGCTCATACATTACCCATATGTTGCCACCAAATCCATCACCTGTGGTTTTCAGGATATGCGGCTGTACAAAACGTGGGTGGAAACGTATGAGAAGAACGAAGAGATCCATGCAGAAGGTGTGGAGACCAGACGTGAGGCTGAAGGTGACTATGATGGCATGGGAAGCACCCCGATCCCTCCTGGAGATAGCCAAGCAGTCCCAAAAGCCAAGCCAAAACCCAAGCCTAAGTCGAGTGCACCAAAGGTCAAGACTGATGAGCAGTTGGCACGTGCAGCCCCCAAGTGTTAAATCACAAAAAAGTTTTTTATTGTGAATATTTGCTATATGTTGCCTGTAGCGTTTGTTTATCCAATCTTGAACTGGTCTGGTACCGACAAGGTTTGTTTACATAATCTGTGCCTCAACTTAGGCTGTGGTAAAGGCAAATGCGAATCTCCTTGAAATTTCGCAGTGGGACTACAAGCTGGCGAACGCCAGTGTGTATCTAATCCAAATTGGTATTTGTCAGGTTTCCTTTAGTGTTAGGGTGATTATGATGTTTTTGACTCATCCTTGATATCTCCATTCTACCCTGAATCCACCCATCCTGAGGCCCAAAGTTGTTCGGGATGCTTACGTGAGCAGCATGGAGACTGAGGGCAAGGAGCTCCGTGATGCAAAGACAGCTGTGGAATTGGCGCTGAGTTTGGGGCAGTCCTTAAAGGAATCCACCGAAAAGTTGGAATCTGCAAATGAAAACTACCGAAAGTCAAGTGGCCAAGTCAAGAAAGCATGTGTGGCGCCGAAGGCGGAAGCAAAGGCAAAAGCATCTGCTTAGATGTTTGCTGTCGCAAGCATGCATGACTAGTGGGAATGTTGTGTCTTTCGTTTTGAATGTTGGGACAGCCCTTGTGGCGCATTGATTTTTCAAAGGTTTGATTTTGACCGCTTGGTGCAATGGCTTGCGACATTTTTGTGTATATCCCCTCGACCATGGGATAGCTTTTGCACAACCTGCTGAAAGTACTTGGCCTGGCCGTTGGTTTCATGAACCTAAGCTCGTGCAGCACCAGCATGACTAGTGAAACATGCATCAGTCTTCATGCATGTGCACTATAGGCGAATTTAGATCGTTTGGTTTCGGGGGTGCTGTTGCGACCCGTTTGTGAAGAGTACCGCATACATTTGGTGTGCAACTGTATACGTAGGTGGGAGGGTACTGATGTCAGTAAACCTGTGTGCCTTCTAAATGCTATAGTCCAGACCACTAGGCATTTTTGCTTGATGCAATATGATATAGTTTGATTTTTTGATGAGAAATGTGTTTGTATGTCAGCACGGTCACGGGAATGACATCAGTACGTATACATATTGTTCTCGACGAACACAATCTAGTATGGCACAGGTATGGGACTAACAGTGGGATGGAACAAAAATGCCCGACCACTCTGGTGATCCATCAAAATCAAATTATCCTAAGATCTCTTAATGTCTCTTAATCATGACCACTATCTGTATACACCAAAACTGTATCCATTTCCCAAACGATTATTGCCGCTAAGGGGACCAACATGAAGCATATCTGAGAGGTGTAGGGCCATTTCAAGAAGTAGTGGGTGGTGTTGCCACATCCCAGCCCCTTCGCAGGTGACCACAGCTTTGCTGATTTCTTGATTTCTTCGCTTGGCCGTGGTGCCCCTTGGCTATGGGTAGTTCATTGGGATAATTGGGCAATTGACTACTAGGTAGTATTGTTCACAAAAGATTTTTTCGTTATCTTGATCGGTGTCCCCCACAGGACCCAATACTTAGGACCCAATTCTTCTTATTCTTTCTAACTTCCACGGCCCACCAAGGCCACCTCTTGCGCGGAGCTTCAAAAAGCAGCTCATGCCTCTGTGAAGGAGGCTGAGGCAGGAGTTCCAATTGGTTAAAATCAAAACATTTTATTTTTAAAAGGTGTGACTGAAAATAGCACACCCCAAAACTATAGTAAATAATAACTAGAAGTTATCTATACAATATACATATATATATATATATATTCTATGGGATATTTATTTTTAGATAGACCACGATAGGCCCATATATCTTAAGTAAGATGTGGCCAATTCCGAATTCCCATTAATTTTGTAACTTGACCCATACAATTTTTATAACATTATTATATTATATATATATATAGATTATATCTTGATCCCTGCCGCTAGGCCAACAAAGGCGGTCTTAGCAATCTGACAAGAAAAATAGCTAGCCTCGGCAACTGGGGCAAATGGCCACAAAACATTGAAAGAGATCTTACAGTTTTACTTCAGCTGCCAGCGGCGCCCCTTTTCTTGGAGATACCAGTGCGCAGCAATATCAACAGAAAGGATGTTGTTATGGGAAAACTACCTATCATTCCTCCTCATGCATTGTTTCATTACCTGCATGTGTCTTGGTGGCTTAAAGATTTAAACAGCACCGTTTTTTTCTCTAGGGGGGAAAGAAGCATATGAACCCTGATTTTCCTATGAGGTTTTGTTCCTAGTTTCATTGAGCTTGTGTCCGTCCACATTCACCCCCAAAGCTGAATCGATTATAATATCTTGTTTCCCACACATAGACCACAGCTATACAGCAATAGTATCCTTTAACTGGGGGACCGGCTCTAAACACTGATGAGGTAAGTGGAAAATTTCAACGCAATGATGCAGCAATCAGGGAGTTTTGGCAACACACCACCAGATATGGTTGGTTGCAGCGAGGGCACCCAGGTGCTACTGCGAACGCCTGCCCACTTGGTCTTTATGGAGACGACTGTCGCTATAATAAAGCAGGAGAGAAGCTGGTGGTTATCAATTTCAACATGTTACTCCAGGAAGCCAAAAGTTTCTTTCTGCCATTATATGCAAAGCATTTTCAGATTGTCGTGTCTAAGCCGTATGTCTATAGATATTTTTTTCTGAGGGTTTGTTCAATGACCTGGTGAGGTTTGGACTTGTCCCGGTTCCCACTGTTTCTTTTGAGGGTTTCTCGAATGGTGCCAGACTACTCGTTGACACGGGTTTACCAACTCCTGATGTGGAGCTTCAATGTCCCTTGCCTTCATGAGTACATGGGGGTTTCCTAAAATGGGGTTATCAAATCATCTACATATATTAATATTAATATTATAAGCCATCAGTTTTAGGTACGATTATCTATGGAAACCCCCATTTTTTTGGTGGAAAATGACCATATATGGGGAAACCAACTTAATAATATGTTGTTCACACACTAGCAGCAATCGCAGGCACTGGCTAGTGGAGTGCACCCTGATGTGGACTTTGAAGGGAACCCGCTCCCACAAACATATGCCCAGCTGAAAGGCAAGCCAATTGCAGGCCTCCAAGAGTGATACGTTATATTTTTTTTGAGGGGGATTGGTGAAAACCGCTTGAGTTCCCAGTGCCCACATTATGTTTTGGCAAGGATCAACCCACTTGTAGTTTCCACAGTCCTCAGGTGGCCCGGCGTGGCTATGTGAGTTGCGAGGAGATTGGAAGTGGAGCAGAGAAGCCTTTGCTCTATCCACCCACTGGGGTGCCAGGGAAATTTGCCATCTGTGTGCTGCAAAATGTCCAGCCCATCCAAATGTACAACAGCGGATGCTATGACCAAATTCAAGTACATCTTGTTTTCTGATATACTATATATATATTATATACACAACGACAATGCCAACTATAGCAGGATAGTGACTGAAATGGCTGGGAACCACCAGAATGAACTACATACACCCACCAATGCAGTTTTACTTTTCTTGAGGCCCCCCCTTTCCACTATGACTTCCAGGGTTTATGACTTCCAGGGCTAAAGCAAGTTCACCGATCTGAGGTGGACCAATCTCGACCGGGAATTCCCTAGAAGATCTGCAGTTAATGCCATGGCGTCATGTTTCAAGACCGGTGTTGCCAAAGAAAAGTGTTAAAAGAAAACGCCATGTGTTGAGATTCAATTTTGACACTGCAAGAGTAACAAAAAACAATATCCGGTTCACCCCTTTCCCAACCCTGCAAGGTGGCCACATCCTATTTGCGGATTACCTGGCTTCCAGGTAGCCCAAATTCGATTTTGTTCAATGCATATAGTCAATCTTGGCATACTGCAGAACTTGACGGGCTCTCTTATATCTCTTTTGTTCCAACATGGAATCTTGACCAAAATAAAGACTTCTTTTGAGATCTATAGCTTAACCCAGCCATCCCCAAATAGAGATCTAATTTGCAAACTGGAATTACGTGATGTAAAGTGACAATCAAATATGGTTGGTAGGATTCTCTTTTTGGGGTTTACCACAGGGTTTGTTTTTCCCCACCTGCCACGTGAGGGTTGTTAGATTTTATCACAGTTGTTCTCCTCCTCCTCCTCTTCCTCCTCCTCTTCCTCCTCCCTCTCCTCCTCGTCCTCCAACTTCTCCTTCACCACCTCTGCATCCACTTCCATGTCCACTTCCGCCTTGCCAACTCTTCGCCAACGTCCGCGCGCAGTGGGCACTGCTGGACCTCAACTGTCGGCTTCCGATCGTGGGCACCGCTGGACCTCAACCTGGGACCGTCAGAGCTCAGTGGGCACTGCTGGACCTCAACGGCCAGATAGAATGCCAGAAGATATGCCAGATAAAGTGCCAGAATGTTTGCCAGATAGAACGCCAGAAGATTTGCCAGACAGAATGCCAGATAGAATGTCAGAAGAGATGCCAGAAGATATACCAGATAGAGTGCCAGAAGATATGCCAGATAGAATGCAAAGGGAGTGGCTGTTATCTATGTCATCTTCACCATGATATGTCATGGTGGGGATCACTTGAAGTAAAGTAATTTATTCAAAACAAATGTTGTTTTTCGTCACCGTTGAGGTTTCTTCGGCCAAGGCAACATGGAAAATCATTTGCGAGAGCTGTCATCAAGATTCCGGGCTTGGGCTAGGGTGACCAAAATTGAGAACTCTAGACTTGCTTAGGAAATTGTTCTATTGTTTTCTCAAAACTTGCTGGGTTGTGAAATTTATACAATCCACCGAAAAGGGTATGGTAAGTATATCTTCTGTTGTTGCTATCTAAGGCACTCACAAGGATTCATATCGTCTGGCATGCTGCACATGCAAGATGGTTATCCCCACCTCACAGTGAAAGCATGGAACGGGCAAGTGCTACTGGTCTTTCTGGATCGCTGTCTTACAGCACTGGTGGCAGCAGGGGCACAGGACCAAGAGATTCAGCTAGCACACTTGGCGACACGTGCGATGACATGCTGGTTTGACCGCTTAGCGCGATTTCCTCGTCTGTTGAGTCAGGCACAAGGGAACGAGATCTCAAATTTTGGATTTCGATTTTTGCGCCTCTACAGGCAGTTGGCGATTCTGTCAGTACTTCGGAGTGTGGCGCGATGGCGTTTGTTGCCCAAAGTGCACCCCTTTCGGCACATGAACGAAGATATGCGACATCGGTTGTACAACTATCGTTACTGTCATACCTTTAAAGACGAAGATAATGTTGGCGTCTGCAAGAAGCTTGCAGAACGAGTAGCCAAAGGTGACTTAATGGAATACCGGATCATGACCCGGTTTCTTCTTCGAGTGGGTTCTTGGGTGCCATGAGAAAAGCATATATATATATTATATATATAGATATCATGCATTAGATATATATATATATATTTCATATATTTATATATATATTTATATTTATTTATATATATGTATATATTTATAATATATATTTATACAACATATAGATCTCTTATTAAACACCTAGCGGCCACCACTAATGAGCAAGTATGCACCAGAGTTCCTGCCGAGAATCTCCATGGCATCAGTGATCTTCTCCAGCACGTGCCAAAAACGAAAGGCGCTGGGTTTGAGCGAGGCTTTCTGGGGATTGGGCCCAGGATTTTTGTGATATGTGGCTTCAACGCCACTTAAATCCACTTAATAACCTGTAAGTAGCATGGCCAAGCTACTGATGGTTCACATGATGTTGTTCCAGAATACATTTGATGGTTGATTTGCACAACTTGTTGGTCCAAATATGGATGGAATCAAATCATGTGTTGTTTCTTAACATGCCCCATGTATCTATTAATTTCCGTTAAAAATATGGTTCCCGCAAATGTACTTAAAATTCAAGGTCGGGACCTATTATACAGGGCCGGGACCTAAAAAACAAGGTTTCCCGCAAATGTCACCATATAAGTGCAACATTCGATCCTCTGGGTATATATATATATATCCCACTATATACCCATCGTATATATATATCCTATTATAAACCTATCGTGTAGCTACAATATTCCCATTATGATCCAGAACAAATCATCAACAAATATGGCTGAATTAAAATAATTCACTAACCCAGACAAAACTATTGTCATAAGGCCGTTCGGGAATGATTCCAGTGACATCACATTGAGGGCGTTGTAATTCATCCAGCTATGTAATTCATGTTGTTTAGATGTTGTATTGTATAATGTATGTATGTATGTATGTATGTATGTATGTATGTATGTATGTATGTATGTATGTATGTATGTATGTATGTATGTATATGTATGTATATGTATATGTATATGTATATGTATATGTATATGTATATGTATATGTATATGTATATGTATATGTATATGTATGTATGGTATGTAATGTAATGTAATGTAATGTAATGTAATGTAATGTAATGTAATGTATGTATGTACATACGTACGTATGTACGTACGTACGTATGTATGTATGTAGGTATGTAGGTATGTATATATGTAAAAGCATATGTATATATATATATATATATGTATAAATATATATATATATATATATACTTGTATATATATATATATATATATAGATTCCCCATTTCAAGTGGATCTATCATTGGGAGAAGAGACAATAATGTTGAGCAATTCCAGGCAAATTATTGCATCTCAAGCAAGCGTTGCACGCTTCACATCACTTCACCCTTTGTTTGTTGGCGATTATATGGTTGGGACACTCAATTCGTAGCTCCATCTGGCCCCCCCCCAAACTTTAGTAAGACATATACCCTCTGGTTATTTAACATAGCCATGGAAAATGGCCCATTTGTAGATGGTTTACCTATTAAAAATGTGATTTTCCATGGCTATGTTAAATAACCAGATGGTAATATGTATATATATATATAATTTTGTATGGATACAACCATACTGTAGCCTACCCACATAGCCTGCTTCCCCCATTCACCATGGGTTCAATGGCCCCTGCCTGACGTTTCATGTCCGCATTGTCTCGAGTCAGCTGTCGGTTTTCGGCCAGTATGGCCTTGCATGGCATGGGGGATGGGGTTCTGCGCGTCCCACCTTCTTTTTTGAACACAGCAGTACAATTGAATCAATCAAATACAGTATATATATATACACGCCAAATGGGAGATGAACTAATTATATCTTGGTATGATGTTTTTTTTCAAACCGATCGGAAGAAATAGTAGGTTGTTATCAACAAATATATATATATATAGACAAATGGCATCACACGGCCGATCTTGCTGGATTTATATTTTAGCCCGTTTCCGGGCCATTTCTTGGAGAGTACTTCCAGTTGCGTCACTCCGCCTGCAGGTGTGAGGTCATTGTATTCATGATGAAAATCATTGGGTTTCTCCCGGTATAGCCACATCAAGTTATACTCATCTGGTTGGTGGGAAAAACAATGCCATCTGCACCATCCCCCAGTCATCACCATGTTTATAGGTGGTATGTTTACCATTCCCATTTTTGGGTGGTTTATGACATTGTTTTAACATGTTTTAACCACATCTACTGCAGATGATTTCAATGAAACATAAAACATGTTCCAAACCACCAACCAGCTTCGGTATGTTCCCTGTTTTTTTCAAGACTCAGATTCAGTGCGTGTCCGGTGTCTCCCAAGAAGCTTCGGGTAACGAAGATATACTCACCTATGTGGTTTTCTGCGAACAATAATCCCAGTTGCGCATATACCTCATGGGATTTAACATCATGGCATACCCAACACAATGGGTAGCGACCAGCAGTTCCTCATAGTAGTTTTCCTGGTGGTTGTTCTGTCAAGATATGTCAACCATGCTTAATTCTTTTGAGGTCTTCATGATGATTGAAAAAAAACAACACAAATCCTGTTGCATCATACCTATTGGGATCCATCAAAATTGCCATTGTAAGTGGTTGCTATCTATGATCATTTCCATCATGAAATTCCAGAGCCCCTGCTGCTGCAGATTGATCGTTCTGCATAGCATTTCAATCCAGGAATATCCATTTCAGACAATGGATATTGATGCAACACCATTGCTTCACCAATTGTATGTGGATTTAATAAACCGCCCCCAGTCTTCCGATAAAATCAAACATCCTGATCATGTATGTTTCCCCAGAATGTCATAGCTTATTATATTCCTTGTATACCAGCAGTTTTTGCCGGTTAAAACCAAATTCTTGTTGCGAAAAAAAAACGCAATCATCAACCCCAAGTGAATATGAAACCGTACTTAGAGGGTTTTATCTCAACTTATGGGGTTATAACATGTTATAACTTCAACTGTTAATTTCATGATATGGTTGTAATTGTATTGTACTAACCATAATACCATATCATCTGGGATACACGGAGATACCTTCATGGGACTACCCAAATCATCCAGTCGTCATGGATGACCGTTTTACATCACGATTGAAGCCATGGTGACTTGGGGATCCCCCATTGTAAGAAACCTCATTTTTTGGGTGGGGGTACTTTTTGGCTTCCACCCACCCACCGCTCGCACCTCTGCACCCATTCCACGCGCCAACTGCTCCAACTTCTTCTCTGCATCCAGCAGCCGAGCATCCTGGTTTGCAGCCAAAGCATGGCGTGTCAGTAGGAAAAACATCGAAACATCGAAACAGGATCCCCAATCTGTTTTAGATTAAAGATAGTTTTAGATCCCCACTTAGTTTTAGGAAGAACATCAAAACATAGCATGTTCATAGCTATAGTAGGACTATAGTTGTAGCCAAGCTACATTATTTGTATCTCAAAATCAGTGAGGGAACTTAGAGGACTGAGTTCAAAGACGACTAAACATAGAAATTGGGAAATTCACTTTTAAAAATCGGGGACTAAGAACTCCACCATTCAAAGATGCAGTTTGAGTAGCAATTGAGGTTTGATCACCATACATGCGGATTTAATCAACTAAAAATTGGATTAATACCCATATGAACGCTGCTTCATGAACCCATCATCATTCAAAGAACCTATTGATGGGGTCATTAAGCAGCGTTCATGAGGGTGACCGTTCAATCTTGGGCACCCAATCCAGGGTAGAAACAGCAAATTTTGGAGAATACGTGTCATAGATAATTTTGGCAAAGAACAAAAGCACATACAGAACATATATAATAAATATATTGGCAAATGTGGGCGATATATATATATATATATGTATATATATATATATATTATATATATGGGCTTTATACATAGGCCATCGTTGACAACAAGTGTATATATATATAATATATAGGTTGCATGAAAAAGCTATACCGGGACGAGGCTTGAAGCCATAGAATCACCGATGAAGAGGTCGCACAGCTGAGGTATGCTGAGGTTTAAAATCAACAATATCCATCAATGTCCAGGCATTGCTGGCTAGTTTATCTGTGTTTATCTAGCATCCCAATTTTCAGTGGACTTTACATATCTTTATATTATTTCAATTATATCATATTTGTGATGCCCCTGATGGTTGATAAACATGTCTCCGCTATAGATCATGCACATAAAATGGGAAAAAAAATGGGATTACCCTCTGGTAATTTAACATAGCTATTGAACATGGCCATTTATAGTGAGTTTTCCCAATAAAAATGACCATTTTCAATAGCTATGTTAAATTACCAGAGGGTAACTTTGCTATGCCGTTGATTGTTCACTCACTATATTTTCCTGCTTTGGGACGCTTGCGTTTGGGACGGTTAAACCAACAGTGTTTGATGTTCCCGTTCTTCTCAGACGAACATCCCATCTTTTGATGGTTTTTATTCACCATTTTGGATGGTTACCCTCTATAAAAACTCACAGTTTGCTATTGAAAATGGCCATAGAAATAGTGGATTTTCCCATTGATAGCATGGTGATGTTAGTTTTCTGTAAACGTTTACCAGAGGGTAATTTTTTTCGCTGGTGGGACAACTTTCTCAAAAATGTGGCCATGGAAAAACCACCCGCCGCCACTACTGCACTACTGCCCCTTTTCGATCCGCCTTTTCGAGAGCATCGGCTTTCAGATTTCGGAGACGCTCCTGGAAGCGGAAACGATGATACCTTTATTTGGGAGATACCTTTATTTGGGAGATCAAGAAATCAAGTATTTTGTTGCTGCGAAAAGGCAGAAAAACAGGCAGAAATTTTCCCTATCAGGCGATCAGGATTCTATCAGCTATCATGGAAAAAAGTAACAGCATGAAATTCAGCTAGATACCTGAAATCCCATGGGAATTGACCAATGCCTTGGTGCGCCAACTATGCTCGGTGTTCCGGGATGTTCCAAAGCAAAGCATGTAACGTGGCGAGTGACATAGGTGATATATATATATATAGGGTTG